CTGAAGTGTTCTACTTGGCTAACATGTTACTCGCTCATAAATGTGTGGTGTGCATAATCTGAGTGAAGAGCAATGTCTTGATGTTTATGTTGAATAAATAAGGTACAAAATCTACAAATGGCTTCAAGGCGTGTTGCAAATGCCACTTTCCTTTAGGCTAATTTCGCCCCCACCAGATCTGGTATGCAAAAAGAGTAACCTGAAATACCCGTAGGATACAATGAAGCGCTTTGTTGATCTTGCTTTTGCACTAGCAAGATCAACCACTGAACTGTCCTTTGGAAAGCGACAAAACAATAGTTTTTGTACAAGGATTTCTGCAGCAATCGAAGTGCAAAGATGGGCTGTTTTATTTAGATAATAGTAGGGGTTTGTTTCTGGGTTCAAGAGACAAAAAAGAAGAAAAGATAACTTCATATTTATAGGGGCAAGATGTCTGTTCCTTTTCAGTTATTATCAGTTTATTAACGGATATAACTGAGTTATCATGAAATTTATCCATTGGAAACTTTTTCAAAAGTCATTTGGTTTGATTTGAACTCCAAATGACATGTTTCCTTGCCTTTCAAAGTTATCCACTCTCTTCAGAAACTTATCTGAATTTTATCTCTTATTCTGATATAAATGTTTCGAATCAGATTTTTTTTATTCGAACTAAAATTGTAACTTTTCAGATTTTGGTTTTACTTAAATGATTCGAATCATATAATTATCATTCGAACCAAAGTTACACTTTCTCAAATGCATTATGCGCAATTGCTTCGAATCAACTTTTTGTGGTTCGAACCCAAATCCTAGAAATATTTTAAAAATTCTTCAACAGTTTATAACCTCTGAAGGGTTTCTTGAGCTTTGTTGAAGCAATGATATTAAAGCTATGATGTTGCTGCAACAAGACAGCAAAATGGTGCAGCATTCAAGCTCCATTTATGGCTCAAAATGTGCAGCAACAAAGCTGCTTCAATGGAAAGAAGAGTGCAGCAAACAAAGCTGCATTATGGAAGCAATAAAAATGAAATGTAAATGCAAATGGAAGCTGCAATTAGTCAACAAAAGTGCAGCAAAATGATAGAAAATGACAGCAAGATTTTTGCGATGTTATAGTCCTTCAATGTACTTGTTATGGTAGTTTATGTATTACGATATTTGATTTAAATATTAGAATAGATTTAACCCAAGGGTTGGATTCATTAGTAAACAAGTGTTGTGTTATAGACGAAGTTCATAGTTAAAGTTTTAGGGCTAGTACTCAAGAAAATTAATTTTTTAAATACACCAAGTCAATGTGTAGGTGTGCTCTTAAGATCACTCTGGAGGGATTAGTCTTGAGGTGTGCGAAAACTGAACTGACTTGAGGATGCTTTGAGAGTAAATACTGAAAAAAAAAAAAAAAAAGATTGTGTAGGAAACATTTAACCACAAATCATGGGAAGTAAAGAATACTAATGGAAAGTGAGAGAGAGTTGGAGAACAACTTCTCCTCTCCTCCCCGGTTGTGTTCTCTTTATTGATGAAATGTATCTCAACCTCTTTTTTTGCTACCAAAAGTGACCTCAGTTTTGGAAGCAAGTCTGAATATCAGTTTTCAATTTTTTTTTCCTTGTCAGAATGTTTGGTGTGTTGGAGCTTTGGCATGAAAGTTGAAAATGCAATGAAACGAGGGCTGCTAAATGATGCTGCAACATGACTGCACAGTAGCTGCAACGTGACAGCAGCTATGCAGTATGGAGCTGCACATGGGCTGCAAGAAATGTCAGTGTTTTAGGTAGTCAATAGTTATTGTATCAGATAAGAAATTGAATGAAAATTGAGTAAGAGAAAGCATGGTTTCTCCTCTCTGACTGGGTGAATGTCTGCACCCTTCCAAGTTTATGACTTTATGTTCTATGTCATGTTCTAAAATCTACTTTCCTCCTGCTCTCCTCCAAGTCCTCTCTTAACCCTTTCTTCTTATCTCGAAAATCTAACATGGTGGATTGGCAATTGAAACAGAAAGAATCAATTTTTGTTTTGTTTTTTTTTTTTCTGGAATACAGAGGATTCATACTACACAAACAAAATATAGCGAAACTGTACTTGGGGAGGCTTATTTTGGTCATTTATTTGCTAAAGTTCATGACTAGCTGCAAACTGTGAATCCAAATAAACGAGCTTGTTGTAAAACATTCTAAAAAAAATTTCTTTAAGCTCATCTTTATGGGTTCCTTCAAGCAAACATGTATTTGAAGGATTTCTTGAGGTACTCGAGCTTAACCTTTAAAAATTTCAAGCTGGAGCTCGACTTAGTAGGCTCATTTAATAAGGTTGCCAAGCAAGTCAGTATCATCCAGGTCGTAGTCTTATCTTGTTGGATTTGGCAATGAACAGTTTCAGGAGGAAAGGGCAGTGGCTGGATGGGCCAAAGGAGAGGACAGTGGCTGGATGCATGTGGGGTAAAACTGGCCTTTAGAAAACACCCACAAAGGGATGGTCCCCGTTAAAAAGACTTGCCCTAAGTGAAAGTTTTTAATGAACTTCGTAAATCACTCAGATTTTCTTTGCTACTATTCTTCTGGTAATCTTTCCTGTGCCAACATTAAGCAATGTCCTTGTCAAAAAGAATTAGAAGTCTTTTAAGTTTTTTGTTTTTTTTTTTTTTTTTGACCAATGAAAAATTGAGAGATGGAGGAATAGTTACAATATTGCTGTACTGACAATTTGAACCCTTAATAAAGAAACCAAGAGTGTTAGTGCACTTCCATCGCGGTTAAGGCCGCAAGTGCCTTTTAAGTCTTTTGTTTCTACATGGATTCAACAAAATGAAACAATGGCTACATTTGCAGAATTATGAATCCTTGAACAGAGAAGTTTTCTTCTGGGACACGGTCTACCGTAGAAAAATGAAACCAGTTTTTTCCATGCACCGACAAAGCAATCAATGACTTATTCCAAGTCAAGTCTTTTTTTTTTTTTTTTGGTAAACCAAAGTCAAGTCTTTTTTTTTTCGTTCTAGAGTCGTTAAAGTCAAGTCTTTTTGTCTAAACATGTTTTCTGCTTTAATTTTCTCATTCCTGTGAGCTATGGTCCAAGATAAGTTTGAGACTGGAGACTTTTAACTCTACAAATGATAGCTAAGCTAGCAATATTCGTTTCACGTCATTGCTCCTGTAGCAAGGGGCTGAATCAATTGTATTTCTTTTAAATCTGCATTTTGCATTGCTTCACTTAAAGCTGGCGTTTTGGGTGCATAAAAGAGTTAGAGAAAAGGGGCATGCGTGTGGAATAAAGCTTCCCTTTACCCCACTTTCCCCCACCCGAAAAAAAAAAAGGAAGGGAGGAAAAGAAAAAACCTTCCCTTTACAGGGCAGTTTGGAGTGTGAAAATGTTGGCATGGAAAACTTGTAAATTTCGTGGAGTAGAGAGGGGAAAACAGGAAATGAAGAGCAGAACACTTGCTAATTTTATTGAAATTCAAAATATACTCATGCTTTTGCAACTTTCTGGAAGGAAAAGACAGAAAGGTGATAAACAACTTACTAAAAATATGAATCTTGTCCGCTGTGATCCTTACACCTATGTTAAGGCTTACAGGAAGACAAGTATCACATGTTCCATAAACTAAACTCTTATAATTTGGTTGTTGTTTTTAATTTTTTGTTTTGATTTTTATAAATTTTGAATTTTTTTAAAAATAACTAGTTTAGTTTATATGTATTTTTTATCATATTGTAATGATTATTAACCAATTTTCTTTCATCTTTTTACATTCTCTACTCGCATGTTATATATTTAAAACTTAAGCTTTTTTAATTACTTTCATGAGAAAGAGATTAATATTAAATTATTTAGGTTATTAATATTCTTAGTTCTTAGTGTTAAAACTTATTTTAAATAAATTATCAATTTTTAGTTTTTCAATTTGGATTTCATTAGTTGTAAATTTTTTTAAAGTCAAAACCGAAAATTAGAAACC